GCCGAGCCATATATTTTAACTTTACCTCACAGTAAAGAAACTGACAGACATGGACTCCCTGAAGCTGGTAGTCATTAGCCTATGGCCCAAAAATTTGGATGGAGAAAAATTACATCTTTATTTAATTCATCTTTAACTAGAATTTAGTATTTCCTTAAATTATGAGTATAGGCAGCACACCATGGTAGACTCAACTTGGACTGTAACTTGGTCCCCAATTGAAATCACAGATATTTTCATACCGCATTATAGGTTGTAGATACAGTATCTCAAAATGTTGCTTTACCCATCACCACTTTGAAATTATTGTTGGGTCTATGGTCATACCACCCTGTAAGCACCTGATCTCATCTGAAATTATGGTTGGTAGATATTAGATCCCTACTAGACCTTACTATTTCATAGAAGAACAAACATATTACTACTGTGTTACAATTAGAAATATATCAGTACAATCAATTTCTTTTATAATCCAGTGTATTTCATCTTATGCATTTAAACACATATATTTCACCAGACTACCAAAGATTAAGAACCTTTGGCTGAAGAGAATGATACCTTACAGCTCTATTAATCTTTCACTTACAGATTTGCTATGGATCATAATATAATGTGGACCCCATTGAAGCCCAGCAAAGGAGTTTAGCTTCTCGAACACCAGAAAGATATCTTATTGCTGTGGGATTCACTTAGGTTTGCTATAAAAAATGGCACTGGAGAAAGAATATTCAGTTGGTTGTCCACATTCTCTTGATAGAAGGCTGGCCTTGAACTTCTGATTCTCCTGCCTCACCCTCCCAGAGTGCTGGGATTATACATGTGTACTACCACACCTGACTTGATTTCTTTTTTTTTTTTTTTTAGTTTGGACATTACTTGTAAAAATAGTAGCTAGCAGGCGAGAAGATCATTTCTCTAACGTATTTTCCGACTACAGTGACGTGCAGTCAGTCATGTCCGCATAATGGCGTTTCAGTCAGCAAACAGCTTAAAGATCCCATAAGATTATAAGGGACTGGAAAATCCTTAGCACATCACTCTTGTGTTTGTGGTGATGCTAGTGTACACCCCTACTACTGCCAGTCATAGAAAATCGCAGCACATACAGTTATACAGACTTCATAACACTTGATGATAAACTGTTACCGATTTATGCACTTACTATGTTATACTTTTAATCATTATTTTAGAGTGTTTTACTTATTTTTAGAAGCTT